TCTCGCGCGGCCCTTTTGACGGAAAAACAGTAATCTCCTTCTTTTCCTCTCGAAAAGAGATGCCAAAAATTGGTAGTGATCGCGAATGTAATGAACGATCGCTGGAGATCAATGTGCTTTTCTTTTCTTTTCTTTTCTTTTTTTTTTTTTTTTTTTTCTCTCTCTTCTTCTTCGATTCTCGTTTCTCGATCCGCGAAAAATGAAATTTAAAGCGTGTAGACAAAAGTTAGTAGACATTGTATACAGATATGCAATCGATATCAAAGATGGCAAGAATATTTCGAAGAATATTCTGTAGGAATGCGAAAATAAAAGAGTACATTTAATTAAAACAACGAAACGCGTGCGATAATTAAATAAATACGTACGACAGTTCGATTATTTAGGATTGGTTGTGTGTATTTAAGCGAGATTTAATCCCTTATAGAAATAGTGGCACATATTTTTCACTTTTTTTTTTTTCTTTAATTTACAACATATGTAATTCCAAAAGATACAAAGATACAATCGTATGTGTACATTAATTAATTTCCTCCGATTCGTTTAATCCGTTCGTTTAATTAATAAAGAAAGAAAAAATAATTTATATATATTTTCTTAGACCTCGAGGACGAGAGACAAAAGATTAAATTATCTTTTTCTTGCCTTCCGTGTAGAAAACAGAAAATATAATCTTCTTATACAGGCAGTTCATACGACTTACGTTTATTACTTATAGAAATTTTTTTCACCACAAATTTCTGTACGAACATTCAGACTTCTTGTTGAAATCCAAATATCTTGTACGTAGATACATATCTATAGGCAATGTCTGTAAGTTTACACGCTTTCAACCCGATTATTCGGATATTCCACGCATCATCTCCGTTCATTACGATCGCTTAATTAGTAACATTAAATGGCAGTTTGTTAAGGTGATCGGATCAATCACCGGATTTTGAACGTTTTTTTTTTTTTTTTTTTCTTTTTGAAACCTGAGAGATATCGTGACCTTCGACATCGATCGATCACCAGAGATCACCATGTTTCGTTTTCGTTTGAAAGATATCAATTTGCGTGTCACGAATTCCTTTGAAAACGAGACAACGATGTTATTGCATCGATTTTCTTCATTCCTCGAGGTCCACTGAGGCAGGTAAAATTGTCTTTGAAATAATTGAAAATTATTCGAATAATTGCCTTTCACAATTAAATATGTTTATCACTCAACTGGAAAAAGATCTTCGATTCTTTTTTTCCCCTTAAAATAATTAAACTTAAAGATATGAATTTTTACGTACTACTTAATTATTTTTTTTTTTTTAAACAAATTGTTATTCTTTTTTTTCAGAAGAATATTATAAGAAGTGTAAAGAAATCAAAAAATAAAATTATCTTAAAAACCATCTTTTTTTGGAAGAATGATAGACATATCTGGGCTAAACGTAAAAATTAACATTTGGCATAAACGATTTTGACAATACGATTCAAAAAAAAAAAAAAAAAGTTCTATTAAATATTCCCAATTCAATTTATCCAACGAATGCAGAGTACAAAGATCGAATTGCTCGAAAATGGGTATTTGTCTTTCGCGAAAAATATCTCGCTTTTCCTTTCAACCCCTCGAGAAATGAATACGTGAGAACACGGATGGAGGAGCCAGGTTCTTTTGTTTCATTTTGCGAAATTATATATATATATATATATATTTTTTTTTTTTCTCGTGAATCGTGGCCGAAGAAGATCCGAGATGAAAGCGAGATCAACAGAGGACAGGCGTTCGAGAATCCCTCTTCGAAGGATCTCATCCCTTTTTTTTTTCGCAGAATTTTTCCTTTCATCGATTATTATTACGCATATCTATCTTTGGGGGCAGGTCAACTTTCGCCAAATCTCGCGTCGTTCGTTCGCTCGTTGAACGAAATTCTGCCGCATGTTCCAATCGCACGCAATGGAGAAGATTGGATCGTTCTCCATAATGATCTAGATTCTATCAAAGGAGAGAGAAAGAGAAGATTTTGTAACTTCCATATTCGTTAATTCAAAAAAAAAAAAAAAAAAAAAGAAAAAAAAGAAAGAAAAAAATCATGCTTCAGTCGAGTAATGACTGAAGATTTTGCAATCTATAGCGAATTTTTTATTTTTTTTTTTCGTTTGTTCATCGATTTTAAAATTCTGATTTGTATCGATGAACAGATTATCTATCCATTTTCTCATCATTCCATCGAGGGATGAGAAAGATTTGTCATATTTTATCCAATCTTTTTAGTCGTTCGTTCGTACGCTGAGATTGGCGCGTGTTTCGCAAGTCATTTGAAAACTTTTTCTTTTTAAAAAAAAAAAGAAAAAAAATCTACGTTCCGTTCGAGGTGTGAAGGAAGAGGTGTATAAATCGATAGATCGCGAGAAGTGAGAATGAGAGAAAGAAGAAGAAAAAAAAAAAAGTTTACATAACACGCGCGATACATACGTGGGAAATAGAAATGCGTGGAAGGAACGACACAGCTGGTTGTTGTTGCGTGGGACGTGAAAACTTCGTTGCGAGATCATCGCTTCTTTTCTATTTCGATGGATATTTTCGGTCCATCCGGAAATCAAGACCGAATGTTTCACTTCCGCGATTTTCTCTCGGTATATTTTCGCGTATTCTTGTCTTGGCGGTGAAAAAGATAAAAAGATAAAAAAAGAAAATAAAGAGAAAAGAGACAGAAAGAGAGATGAGAGAGAGAGAGAGAGAGAGAGAGAGAGAGAGAGAGAGAGAGAGAGAGAGAGAGAAACAACACTGAACAAGAAGAAATCAGTATGGAATGTCTCTATATATAATTACATGCGAGAATAATAATTTAGCAGGCGTATAGAAAAGAAAGAAAAAAAAAAAAAAAAAAAAAAAAAAAAACAAACAACTCCGCTACATTGTATTCCGTTTACGTTTATAAGACAATAAAAACTATACTCGTCGTCATTCGTAATAGTAGTAATAGCAGTAATAATATAATAATGATCGTAATTATAATAATAATAATAATCATAACTGTCCTCATTATCATCCTCATCATTGTCTTACTATAATCGTCGTCTTATTATTATGATCAATCATCGTAGCTCACAAATATGTATACCAATCTCATGTTCATAATCGATTTAATTACTACAATTACTTCCTAATTATATCGCAAGAAAAAAAAAAGACAAAAAATATACGTTCACACATATTTCTGTAGTCCTTTACACTTCCTTTCCTTTCCTCGTTTGAAAACGTGTGAGATTTCTCGAATTCTTTTACATACATACGCGTATATATATATATATACGAATATATAAATATATAGAAATATGTATATATATTTCATATATATATATATATATATATATTTATATATCTTCTTTCCTTGCCAACGAAACGAATTGATACGGAATAAATTAGGCGCTAAATAAATAGAACAGTTCACTACGGTTTTTTTTTTTTTTCTCATTAGGCAGGTTCATCCATACTCGCTGCATTCCTATTTTTTTTTTTTTTCTCTTCTTCCATCTTCGTCCTTGACTCTCCTGTTTCTCATTTTATCTCTCGTATATACGCATAATATATGACTTTGCCAGCCGGGATATTAATTTGTAAAATAATGCTCGCGATTGTGTAAAATGGTTCCTCCTGTGTCACTGCTAACGATGGACACACACACGTCATCGATGTTACTATTTTCTTTCGCGTTTATCCGTCGATTTGCTTCGGATACACATCGGATATATAGAATTTGTATTTTATTTGCATTCCTTTCTCCAAAGGAATTGATCCACTTCGAAATAATAATAAGAAATAGCAGTAGTAGTAGTAGTAGTAGTAGTAGTAGTAATAATAATAATAATAATAATCATTATCGATAGTACAATAGAAATTCAAAATAGTACGTGTTAAGGGATGGTTTCTCCCTTTTGATCTTCCTTCCCCTTTCCAATATTTTTTTTTTTTCTGTTTTATTTTCGTGCAGCCGAACGAGTACACATGCCACGGCGTGTTTGTCGTTTAATTAATAGGGTCAGTATTTGAAGTAGTCTGAGGGGGGCCACGCTGTTCTAAATTATAAATATATATTATATAATATATATACATATACACTATATATATTATATAATATACGCATATATTTATATATGTATATTTATAAAATTTGAATGAACGTTCTTGATCAAGCTATAGTAATTTATTTTATTCTTCTGCTTTTCTCTCTCTCTTTCTCTCTTTTTTTCTCTCTCTCTCTCTCATTCACTCTATCACTTTTGCAAACGTGTACACTCATTCCTGAACATTTTCACTTTTTCTCGCTCTCTCTTTCTCTTTCTATATATCTATTTTTATATATATATATATATATATAATATATATATCAGTTTTAATTTCATTTTTATACCTCTATTATTTCATGCCATCGTCTTTTTTTGCCCTTTGTTTGTTATTAATATATTTTTTTTTCGTTTGTCAATCGCTCATCATCGTCGTCATCATCATCATCATCATCATCGACATTCACCCCTTCTCTTCCTCGTTCACGTTTCTTCGCGTCTTCATTTTCCCTCGAATAATTAATAATCCTTAATAATGCAAAAATACTAGTTAAATCCCTGTACATAAAAACCTTGATGTGGTATATGTGTGGTGTGGTATATGTCCATTCTGTCGTGTTTCGGATGCTATATCACTGCGTTTTGTATGCACGTGTAGTACGTTTTGCAATAAGTGTATGTATGTATGTATGTTGCACGTGTGCAGATCTGCTGCCATCCACTTGCCACATTCGTTCTCGTTTTTTTTTTTTTTTTTATTCTTGGTGGACTCAAAAAAGCGTTACCTTTATTTGTTTCTAAAGTTTCTTTTTACTTACAAGGTATTTGGTTTGCTCCATGCATCACTCTGACATGCAGTTTTTTTTTTTTTTTGTTAAGATATATAAATTATGGTAATGATTCGGTATTATAATTATAATAATAATTATTATTAATATTAATATTATCAGTGTGTGTTCAGTGTGTGTACCGCCATTTTTTTTTTTTTTTTTTTTTAATATTATTATATTCCTTCTTGCTGGTCACGGAATCAGTTACTCGATAACTCTCTCACACCCGGTCTTATACGTTCTCTCTCATCTTCTCTCTCTCTCTCTCCTCTTTTTGTACCCACTCTCTCTTCCCTTCTTATTTCTCTCTCATTCGCTACGCACACCCCACTCACAGTTTTTCAATTTTTTTTCTTTTTTTTTTCTGTTTTTCTTTTTTTTTTTTNTTTTTTTTTTTTCTGACAAAAAGAACAAAGAAAAAGTTAAAAACACGCGTCAACATCGTTTCGTATCGCCCTTCGTATTTCGGTGGCCTTCAAAAACGCCGGTATAAATCATGGTAAAAAGGAATGATGACTTGCTGTTTTAATTAAAGACTACGTCGTTTTGCTATCGCGTAATAAGCAGTGAGGAGGGAACGGGTTTATTCAGAAGGCAGTACCGTGAGGAATCGTCTCGTTTCGATCGTATGGAAAAAAGAAAAGAGAATTATATTCCCTAAAAACTACGCCACGCCGCAGAAAAAAGTGAGAAAGCTCCGCCAATTCGAAGTTTCCTCGGAGTCTTAAAAAGTGAACGATTCTCCCGTTCAGAAAAGAAAGTAACTATTACTATTATCACATCGTATAAAAGTTACGTCAACTGTTGCTTGTAATGCTAATTACAAGTTCATGACCTAAAAAAAAAAACTTGGTCACTATTATTGGCCAATAATGTAAAACGAACGCGAAGAAAAAGAAAAAAAGAAAAAAAGAAAAAAAAAAAAAAAAAGGAAGAAAAAGTAAGAGAAATTAAGAACAAAGGAAGGAAATCTTCGAAACATCGGTCGAGCTTTTTACCTCTTTCTTTTTTTGCCTCCAATTGAGCCCGATGAATCTAAAAACCAGCAAGGTGCTTACACACAACAACTTCCGCTTTCCATCGTATATGCAGTAACACTATTTTACACGAGATCTCGAGGAAAATTTCTACAAACAATAGCAGGAGAGTCTACAAGATAAGAGCAGAAAGATGTACTGGATTATAAAACATGATGAAAAAGAAAAATCGGTCCCAAAAAAGGACTGGAGTGGGATACAAAGAGGAATCTTACAAATTTAATGCGGATAAATAACTTAGAGGGGGGGAGGGAAGGAGAAAAGGAAGGAAAAAGATAGAAGAAGAAAAATTAGGAACAAGTACAAATAGGAAAAAAATAGAGAAAGAGAATGGAGATAGAGTAGGAAGAGGGAAGGAAAGGAAGAGAGAGACAGAGAGAGAGACAAAGAGACAGAGAGAGAAAGAGAGAGAGAGAGAGAGCAGGAGCGAAGGAGAATCATCAAAAAACGATCGTGATGGTGCGATGGTAGGCTACAGGTCTACTATCCGCGACCCTGATCGGTGACCCTGGCGGTTTTTAGAAGCGCCTCGCTGCGATCAGCGTTAGATTGGCGGCCGACACGAGGGTGCTGACGTTGTTGCTTGTATTCGTGGCTCCCTGGCTGGCGGTGGGTCACTTCTTACTCTTCTTAGTGGGCGGCTCCTGGACGTCCTGCGAGTCTTCGGTGTCCTCGCTGTCTGTCGGTCGGGGAGTGTTGTTGCTGTCGTCGTTGTCGTTCGTGGCGAGTGAATCGTTTGTATCTTCGCTGGCGACGGCCGCTGTAATCGGCGTAGCTGGTTTATCCATCGAGTCTTCGGTGAAGGACGTGGTCATGCTGTTCTCGTCGATGGCCGCCGGATCAATACTGCCTAGTTCCTTACCGTTCAGTGCCGCTTCCTGATTGCTGTCGTCCGACGGTTCTGTCGCCTCGCCGTTGCTGGGCGGATGGGAATTGCCGTTCTCTGTGGAGCCTGGAATGCCGTCCAACAGCTCTGGCTTCAGCTCAGACGCCACGTAGTGGGTCCACAGAGCGAGCTCCACCCTGTGAGGGCTCCATGTTTTGCCGTTCGACGCTGGAATAAACAAAACGCGACGAAACCGCGTGTTAAACTTTATTGTGATAAGGATCGTTTCGTAATATATTTAATAGTTGGGAAAATTCACGTTGAGGTTTTCATGATGTAAACAATAACAATAATAATAACAATATTTTTAAGTTTAATCTTCTTATTTTAATTTAACTAATTAATTTGTTGATGCTTTATGAAATTCTGAAATACAGTGCTCTTTTATAATAAAACAGATATCATTTAACTCGTGGAAAAATTATTATTTATGGGATGACCTAATAGAGTTAATTAAGGATGACTTAATATTAATGAATTTCAAAGTTCCAATGGAATTATCTCTTTATTCGATTTCAAGTTATATAATCTGATGTAATTGGCAAACGGAATTGATAGTGGTGTTTCAATATGAATATAGATAGAAGATACTTAAGCTTCATTCAGATTGCTCAAGTTGTTTGAATTCGAATGCAGTAAAATTCTGTTTATTTAAATTCATCGAGATAAACAATTCAAGTCAAGCTTACAGTTGGAAGATCCTTAATTTCATTTAAAATTTGGAAAGATATTTCAAAACAAATATATTTTCTAATTTTATTTCAAATTATTTTAATTTGTTGAAATAAATTTTACTTAAATATGCCTTTACTATATATATATATATATATATATAGAGAGAGAGAGAGAGAGAGAAAAGAAAAAAAAGAATATTTCAAATTAGAATGAAAAATTGATTTTAATTCAATACGAATAATCTGAATGAACTTTTACACGTGAATCAATGAATAAATTTTAATAATAAAATCTTGTAAACTAATATCTTTATAATTATTCAACTTTGATAATTTACATTTGAATAATGTATCTCCTTCTTTTTTTCTCTTTCACGTAAGAGTTATAATTATGTTTATAAGATTCATAAAAAAATTTGTAATACAATTTACAAGCATGACTTCTTATAAGCATGGTAAAATAATAAATTGCAAAACAAAAGTTGTAGTTGTAAACCCATAAGATAATTCTGTTTAATGATCGGTTGACAGTGACTGAGTAAACATATTAACAGAAACACTTACTTTGTTTGTTCAGCCTCTCCACGGTATTTTGAATGTGCTGAACAAAATTGAGGTACTCCTTGGTGGTATAATCGATGCCCTCGATTTCCGGTATTGCCATCAGACATTCGTCCGCCATGAAGGGTGCATTCTCTGGTGATGCTGCTGCTAATAGAGCTGACGCCATCGTGGTACCTACTCCTTTTAAATTCGAGAGGGCAGTAATCGCTTGTTCGAGATTTGGAAGTTTTTTGAACGCCTTTTTCGTTTCCGCCATCACAGCGCGAGGTGTGTTCACTTTTACTAAATAGGACAGTTGAGGATAAAACTTCCCACGCTGCAAATAATAAAAAAGAATTTAACGTTAGAAAAATTGTCAACTTTACTTAAAAGAAAAATATAAAAATAAGTTGATATTTTAATATTTTAAAAGGAGAGGAGAAAAGAAAGGGAGAATTAATTCTTTGTATTAATTGCAACTTTAATTTAATATTATAATATTATTTTTTTTGTTATCGATAATATTCTTCTCATTTTGTTATGATCGATAAGAACGAATCAAAATTTCAAAATTTATTGTATAAAAGCAGAAATAGAATTAAGATAAGTTGGAAATCGCTCCATTATGCACAATGTACGTTTAAACAAAACTTTGAAACTTCTAAAACTTCAATTGACTTTAGTGAAAGTTACTTAAATCTAATTCACATTTTAGTTAAGAGTAATCATGAATTTAGCGTATCGTGCTATCTTTAACAAGTTACGTGATCGAAGAAATTAAAAATTATACGAATAATATTTTATATTCAATTTTACATTTTACAAAATTAAATAATAAATTCTAATTATTATTCGGGATACAATCTCGATGGATCGCAGAAATCAAAAGAAAAATAAAAAAAACAAACAAACAAGCAAACAAACACAGAATATATTGATTAAATAAAAATTCACTCACTATTTGCTTCCATTTCATCGTTTGCACCAGTTCCTCGTGATTGAGATGCGCGTCCTTGCCGCGCGACTTGATCTTCTTTGGAAGCTCATTCTGGTACCTGGGAACAAAAAACGTCATCGGGTGATCAGTGGATGGAATGATCAGTGGATAAAACGTCAGGATGTATGCAAGATCACGGTTACAGGGGCTCGATTACATAACACGTTCGCGAGCGTGGAATCGCGGAATACTGATTAAAAATGCGGCCGCAAGAAGCGGTTTTCCACCTACTGACTCTCACGTGGGCTGGCAGACAACTGGCGTTGGAACACGAGCCAAATCGAGGACGCGTTCTCCGCATTGGATTTCCCGATATTCTGTCAAACTTCTTCCTCTATTTTACATCCCTGTACTTTTCGTATTTCCCATCATAAAAGTTTCTAATTTTTCTTTTAATGGCGTAAACGATGCAATTTAACTTTCTTTAATTTTCATTCCCATCGTGTAATTAACATTATATTCGTATAATTAACAATAAATCGTGTATTTCCCCTTAATGAAACACGTTTATTAAATATTAAATATAAATATTTAGAGGATATTTTTCTCATTCATAAATTTCATCGTGTGTGATGAAATTTAAATGAAGATTATGATATTCGATGAATTAATACGAGTTATTGTGCGCGAGGAAAATATTTTACGAAACAAAGAAGACTTTTATATCCCTTTTGCATATTTTGAATCGAAACATAATATACCTCTAACATTTCAAATCCTCAATCACAACAATCTACGACCTTCATTTTCATTCTTGACAATTTTAATTTAATAATCGGCTAACGTATTCACCGACCATGCAAATCGATGTCCGCTAAAACTGAGGTTTTAATTAAAAACATTAAAAACCCTTCATATTAAATAATTGAAACATAAAATATTGGTAATCTTTCAGAGCGTTTAATATCAATTTTTGTTCAAAAGCCAAAATTTTAATTCAAAAATATTATCAATATACTTCAATATATTCCAAAATATTTAAAATATTGATCCAATCAATTGACACTTATTTATATTATTTATATTATATTGTAACAATAATCATACAAAAAATTATTCAAAATAACGAAATTCTTTATAATTCTATATAAAATTCACTACGTTACTCGTTAAAAAAAAATACCCATGTTCAAATTACATTCCTTCGTTTATCAAGAAATCAATATATATTACACTTAAACGAATAAACACATTCAAAATCACTGAATCATCAAGAATTCTTTATGAAACTGTAATTGCAAACTGAAAATAACTTCTCTCCCCTCTCTCTTTTATTTTCTCTTACTTTTTCCCTTTTTTTTTTCTTTTTTTTTTTTTTTTTTTTTTTTAAGAATCTGGTTTCGTTTAGCGGCAAACGTCCCGGTTCAGGTAACGTTTCCTCTTTTTCCCACCAACTCTTTCTTCGTCCCCATTATTCGGGTCATCGACACCGGGACAAGTTCTCTGTTCTTCGGAGGCTGCATCCGTGAACACGGCCGTGCAACGAGTGGAACAGAGAGAGAGAGAGAGAGGGGGTGGCAGCACTCTCTCGCGTGGTTTTATTGTAGGGTACTTTCGGAGGTCGGCTGAGATCAGCTGTTTGGCTGAACGGCTAAACTTAGTTACGGATAGTTTGTATTTCATTCATATAATGCGACAACTTGAACGTGTGTTTCTTTGAATTACTGGCTACTGGATTCGTTATTATGATTGGTTTTTTTTTCAAACAGAGCACGTGGAAACCTTGGATGGATTTGATAATTAGCGTGATACACCGTTGATCGAAATGGTTAGGGATCGATTTACACGTAATCGTGCGTGACATTATTTGGATAAATTTTGCGGTCTGTTTGATTCGTACATATTTGTTTATTTGTTTATTTAACGGATGTAAATCGATTATAGTATATATATCGAAATGTAATATTATAAATTGGAAGAAATACTTTTTTTTTGGTATTGAATTGAATTATTGGAATTAAGAGATTGAATATATATTATTTTGAATAATGGACAAGAAGAATAAATTATAATTGTTTCGTATATTGGGAGAATTAATTATTATTTGTTGAATAAGTTGAATTTTTATTTATTCGAAATTAATAAAATTAGAATGAGTAAGGGAGAAATTGAAATAACAAATTAAACAAATTAATAACTCTATATTTTTATCTAAATTCATTTTATTTGCTTCGAATTCTTTTTTCACGTTTATTAAAATTTCTATTTAATTGTCCAATAAATAATTTATTAATTTATTATTAATTTAAGTTAATTTTTAAAAGATTTCTTCGATAATAACTCAGACATTCATAAATGAAATCTTTTCTTCAATGCATTCGAGCATATTATGGAGGATTAATCGATCTTTCGATATTCGATACTTTCAAATATTTAATAAATCCATTATTTTTAGATTCAACTTTAAAAAAAGAATTTTAATTTTTAATCAAATAAAATCTATTATTAAAGTTTTTCAGTTTTTATTTGTACGTTATTTGTAATATATTACTAGTATTTATTATATAAAGGAAGAACGATGGAATAGTGGAAAGATTAGGATTTTTGGTTTGCGGTGAAACTTGGACGATAATGAACCGTATTATCGTCCAAGGAAACAGTAGATTTAGTTTGTCTCGCAGCCAAAAGTAATTTCTCAAATTAGAATTTAACGTTTTATAGTTTCTTTTTTTTTTATTTTTGCTATTTTCTTTTAGCAATAAAACGAAGATAAAAATAAAAAAAATCTTTTTTCAGGAAAAATAAATTTTATTCGATAATCAAATGATAATTCAGAAAAATGAAAAATTATAAGTTTCATTTGTGACTAAAATATTCTTTATATATTTGAACAGATATGTTAAAAGAAGTTTGGATTCAAAGGAGTAAAAAAATAAATATAAATGAAAAAACTTGTGTAAAATATTTTTCATATTTTTTTTCTATTATTTAATTTTATATTCATAATATTATTAAATAATTAAATTTATTTATCTTCCATTGATATATTATTTTTTTTTATATTCAATTATTATTTTACTCTCATTAGTGTTATTATTTCTTACTGTGTTTATACTAAATAAATAAATAAATAAACAAAAAAGTTGGTAAAAATAAAAGGTTTATACGATTTTCTCGGAGAGAAAAAAAAAAAAAAGAAAGAGGATATTGGATTGGTTCTCTTCTGGCTTCGATCAAATAGGTATAGGCAAAGAAGCCCTAAAAATGAGTTACAGCCACTTGATTCTCGTCAATCGTTGAATTAATATTAAACATGGATGTTTGAGATCGTGGGGCAAAATCTCACATATCTTTCCACAAATGAATATATTTAATTAAAAAAAGAAAAAACGCAAAACAAGTATTCATTAATTTCAAGTTCTTTTTTTTCATTAATTACTTTGAACCGATTTATTAATACATTCGAGAGAATTGCAAAAAACCTTACAAGCTCGTGAGGTATAAAATAATGTAAAAAAATATATATATATATTCTTTACTCACCATAGTAATTTCAAATGATTTACAAAACGATTTATTTGTAATAATTATTACTTACTATCACTCACTTGATTGTATCGAATTAGATTGTATATTTTTTTTTATCGCTTTTTATATATTTTTATATCTTCATATTTTTCATAAAAAATCCATTCTTTTTTATCTCTAACAATCTCCAACAAAAGGAAAACAAATCTCGCAAAGGATCACTAAGGATCAAGTGATCCGGATTAAAACATCCCTATCTGTAACATTATTCAACGATTGATTATCAAAAAGCAAATAACACAAATAGATTTTTTATATTTTTCAACGTTTCGCTGTACCTGTTACATAAATTCCAAGAATTTCCGATCAATTTACAAGTTTTATTCTCTTGTAATCATAATAAAACTCATAAAGTTTCCAAAATCTTTCATCGATTTTTTCTCTCTCTCTCTCTCTTTCTCTCTCTATTACAATCAGAATGAAACTCCAAAGGAATCGTTGTTGTATTAAACGTTGATTATTAATAGAAAGTCGAAAAAATAAAAAAATAAAAAAAAAGAAAGAAAAAGAAAGAAAAAAATGAAACAATTGGCCGAGTGGCGTAACGGTTTATTTCTTTTGGTGTACACGGTTCTTTTGAGCCACAGCTCGAAACCTTTTCAGGACAGAGGCTCGCGCAACCATTTTGAGAGGCTCTCGCGCGCCACGCAACGCAGTGCTGGGTCTCCCCGCTAAAACAACCTTGACACAATCGCCGTGTGCTTTAAAACTGGCGAGGAGGAGGATTGTGCCTCGCGAGAACTCTACAAGCCTTATTTTTCTACCTTTGCTTTTACGACGATCCTCCGCCTTCTTCTTTTATTCTCCTTAAACCTTCTCCACGCACACCTGTAATCCGCGAATATTTCGCGAATTCCAAGGGAACCAGTCCATAAACCAGACGGGACCATTCTTTCTACACGGGCCATTTTCACCGTGTTTTGAAACACACTTCGTTACCCAATGGGCACCGCCACGAATCGTTCTCCTCACTGGTCATAGTATGGATTATATAGTGTCTATGGAATTTATATTTTAAGAAAAATTTTTAATTTCAAGATTATTTAAGATTTATTTTTATACTTTTAGAATATTAAAAAGAATATAAATTTAATATCGTTGACCATTCTGAAGATAAAAAGGATTTAATTTTTTCATTGTGATTTTTAGTATTTTTTAAAAAAGTGGCATTTTTTTTATTTTCGTCGTTTAACGTTTTTTGTTTCTTCAATCTTATTTATTATGCATAAATGATTATGAAATTAGATATTAACACATATTTATAATTTTGTGAATAATATCCTGAAAAGTAATAAAATGTCAGGATTTTTTAAAAACGTTAAGTCTTTGTAATTAAATTTCCATAATCTACAATTGAAAGCTGGATATAAAAAACATAGGAAATAGATTTAAAAAAACAATTTTTTTAATCACCAAAATATTTTTATTATAATAAAAAAAGAATTTTATATTATTAAAAAAAGGTAAAAAAATCAGTAATTTAGTCTCTTCCATGACCAATTTTCAATTGTGCCATAATTCTGTCGAGAT